TTGAATTCACTTTGTTTTTTTTTCCAGAGGCTAAGAGCTTTCCTACAGCATTTGATCCGGAAAGAGACTGAGGCATTTTGGTTTGTAGATGTAATCCAAGCTTTAAAAATTGTTTCTTTGACTAGCGGTTTGGAGAAGAGTCTTTTATCAAAGAAGAAGGATCCTCGATATGAATCTTGACTGGACATTAATTTATGAAGAATTGGCCGATGATCTGATCCTCTATTAGCTAGAAAGGCTTGATTAGAAGCTGGAAAGTTATTAACCATTTAGAGTTTCCAAAGGCTCTATCTAGTTTACTTTGAATCCAGAGTTTGTTTCTTCTTCTTCCCCGAATAAAACAGTTACCCATACTAGGAAGTTCAGTCATGTCACAAACTTGAAGCATGTTAGTAAAAGGCAAGAAAGATGAGTCACTTCTTCTTGGTCCTCCTATTTTTTTCAGAGTTTTTGAGAATTTCGTTGAAGTCAGAAATCATGCACCGACTGATTTTCTGAGTCAGGCCCCAACGAGAAATACGTTCCCAAACATTATTCCTATGACTAAAGCATGGATGACCGTTGACACATGAAAAATAGAAAACCTTGTCTTCATATTGAACTTTTACATCCAAAATATTCTTGTCCGCATACAAAAGGAAAACATCCACACGGTTTTTCCAAAAAAGAGCAAGACCCCCACCTACTAGAACTGGGTCTACCGTGTACAAATGATCATAGCCTAGATAAACCTTGAGATCTAATAAAGTATTATACCCGTGCATAGTTTCCATTAGAAAAAGCATCTCTGGAAAGTAAGTACGCCTTAGTTCCAAGAGACGCTACTGTCAGCTCATGAGGAAGTCCCAGTCTCCGACAGTTCCAACTTATGATACTCATTTAAATATTCGACGGTCCCTCCCGGGGGACCATCCTTGAGGTGTTGTTCTTTGCAAGCTTGGAAACACCAGCCAAGTTTTCTTCTGCCTTTCTTTTCTTGTTTGGGCTTCCTTCACTGCTGGTATTGTCTTTCTGCTGTCCTTGTTTTGGAGATTTCTTTGGGGTGGTGGGAGCTTTTCGATAACGTCCAGAAGCTCTTTTTCCTTTTGCCTTTGTTGCCGTATTTTTGGTGAGTGGAGTGATTGAAGGGCTGGTCTGAGGAGTCTGAGGAAGTACAGATTCTTGAGTAGACTAGGGGGTTAAGCGACAGAAAATACTTACCGAGTTGGAGATGGTTTAAGCTGCGGAGATTTCTGAGGCCATGAGTTTGGATTGAGAGCTAGATAACTTGTTTTGTATCCCAACATCATATTTTTCATAACCAAAAACAATTCCTTTGCCTTTGTCTAAGTATTTTGTGAAGATTGGTGGTTGAGCAAGTTGGAGCACTGATTTTTGAGTAGAGGGATGAGATTCAGCTTCCTTGACAGAAGATATTACCCTTTGCTCTCTGACGTGCTTATCTTCTTGACTAGAGGCTAAAAGGTAACGACGCATTTCTTCAAGGACTTCTGGTGCAATGCGGGGGCGTCCAGATAGCGGATTGATACCAACTTGATCTTCCTTGAGGACTCCAAAGAGTGGATCTTGTTCGGATAGGACCTTCTGAGCTCTAGGGTATTGAGAGATGGACATGCATGCAGAGGATTGAGGCTGGAAGGCTTGAGTATCCCTAAGAAAAAGGCATCTTGCCTTTGGATGTGTTAGTCTTTGACACAGAGTGCATCGCTTTTGAACTCTTTCATAGAAGTAATAGATAGTAGTGCGTCCTCCTCCTGGGAGGTTGAGGATTCAAAATTTCTTCAGAGGTTTAGAGACATGGATCTTGATTTGAACACGGACATAGTCTTGTCTTTGTAATTTTTCAGGATCAAAAGCCACTTCAACAACATGACCTATGAGTTCACCGAGATCCCATATTGCATGTTTGGTATAGTGATTGACTGGAATGTTACTGATTCTGACCCAGATCGTGACATGTTGGAGGAAGTCTGAAGAAGGTTTCTCGCTCCATCTTTCCATGGCTAGACCCCAGTCTTGAAAGGTGTGGAAGCCTTTACTAAGGACATCTTCAAGATCGCGTTCATGCATGAACACAAATTAAAATCTCTCTTTAGTTAGGAAAATACCTCTAACAGAGTTGGTTTTCTGCCATTTCCTAGGCATGTCGAGGATTAAGTCTAAGACTTTTTGAAATTCTGGATTAAGAATTCGATCGATGAGGCTGCATGTGTTTCTTTCAGTGGCAAAATATTGTGGTAGATCTGGTAAATTAAAGGGAGAGTCATCATCATCGTTTAAAGTGAGAGAGAGCATGGCAAGATCCATTTCAGACGACATGATTAAGAGAAAGAGTTTGAGCAAAAGATCTTGAAAAGAGATTTGGGAAGATGATGAAAAAAATTGATTGCAAGGGGGAGATCGAAAGAGAGTTATATAACAGAGGTAGCGTAAGAGAAGGAAACAATGATGATGTCGTAAAAAGATGGAGAGCCTTCTTGTTTAGAGAACCAAGAAGGAGTGCAAGCTCTAGAAGATATCCTAGAGAGAAGGGAGAGCGTTTTCTCTTTCAATGAACCTTATCATTATTTTCATTTTTTGTGGACTTCATAATATAAAATTTATATATGGTAAGATTTACAAATTTATTTAGATAAAATTATTTCGTTAATTGTATCATTGTAAAAATTGAATATTTCAAGCCATATCTTGAATTTTATATGATTTGCATAATATCATTGAACAAATTTTATAATATTATGATTAATAAATTTAGTATAAGCTTGAACTATATGTAGTTAATATAAAATCATTTATAAAAAAATTAAAATATGTTTTTGATCAATCTTTAAAATTCACATGAATAAAATAGTTTTAGTTTTCATAAATAGTTTTTTTTGATAAAAGAGTAAAATGTTCCAGGAATAGATGCAACTGCGAATTCCCATGAATAACTTAATAACCAATTACCTAAATGTTGTTAATTTTTTTTATTGCAAAATGTTGTATAAACTTTGTATATTTTAAAAAGGAAAAAGATATTAATTGCAAATATAGTTACATATGTCATTTTGCTAGGGCTACAATATAGCAAGATAGTTAAACATATCGTTTAGACGATAACCCTCATAGCTTCAGAATTTGATAGTACGATATTTTGAATGAGGAAACAAGTGAATTTAATTTGAAAAGTTTCAGTAAATTATAAAAGTATTATATGTGGCCTGCAATATTTATTATATTTGTTATTACGTAAACTTTTATTTAATTTGTTTTACGTAAAATCATTTACACATTGTTTTGAATTGTGTGTTTCATATAAATCACAACTATTCCGTAATATTCATTTTTTTTCTCACATTAACTATACATAAATTATAGTATATTATCTAACCCACTTATTTCACATCATTCAGCCACTGTCACCATTTGAAACCTTAAACCAGATGTGTTCACCTTTCTTTAAAACCGACAGCTTTACTGCAACTTACGGATATCTAGATTTTTAGATCGAAATGAATCGAATCAAATTGCGTGAGGCAGAGCTTAGCAAACAAACAAAATGAGCTAAACGATCAGGCGTTTTCTGTTTAGCTGTTTAACATTTTTTTTTTGGTTTAAAATCAACACTGTAAATTTCAGTTCCCAGAACGTTAGTGGACACTCAATAATCTCCAACTTCCATTCCAAAATACTCTATATTCATATTCTTCATTGACTTGATACTTCTTGAATAGCATTATTCATAAATGCTCGGAGAATGCATGATTCATCAATATCATAAAATGTGTTGTAAGGATAGCATCCTAATTAAAGACACTTCCTTTTAAAGTCTGATAAGTTTTTACAATGACAACAAATTTTAATTTTTAAATACTAAAAATTGGAATTTTTTATTTATAAACACACAAATATCGACGAAGAGAGATATTTTGGAATCTCACTCACAACTTGTTGTCTGAAAGAGTAGAACGTCAAGAACTGTGGATCATCCAGCCGGTTCTCTTGCAGCCTCTTTCTTATTTTCTTTCACCAACATTTAATCATTTAATAGATTATTAAATTTAATTATAGATATTGTCAGATAAATAATCTTGATGAATAATATTTTCTTGTATGTTTTCATTGATTATCAATGGTGAAATATGTGTGCTGCGAAAAAAGAGACACATATATTTTGGATGAATTGTTGTATTATACATAAGGAGAAATAAATTAAATAAATAAATGTATCTTAGATATGACAGATATATACTTTAGATGACATTATTCTCCTTCAACGTAAGTAAAAGTGTACAATATTCGTTACTAAATTTTGCCAACAATAGTATATATAATACTATTGTATTTTTTGTTGTGCAAATATAACAATTTGTGTGACTATAAAATATAACAAATCTTACATGAGAGAGGGAGGAAGGGGGAGAGTGAGATATTGTAGATGTATATTTCTATTACATATTTCCAATATATCTATATATATAAAGGAGCATTCTCTCTTCACAGAGAGAGCCACGTCATCCGAATCTGTAAGGGAAGGAGAGGCCTCCACGTCACTATTTTTTACACACGGTTTGCATTTTTGTTGAACCCTTTTTTGTGATGTCGTTTAATTTGTTTTCGGTTTGCGTTTTTGTAAACCCATTTGTGATGTCGTTTAATTTGTTTTGGGTTTAATAACATTATGGGCCACCAGAATATTTGCTCCTTTCTTTCACACGTGTGTAGAAAACCTAATTTCTTTTTCTTCGCTTTTCCAAAACAGAGCTTCTTCTTCATCGCGTAACACCCAAAAATAGATGAAGTAACGTGTTTTTTTTAGTTATGGTGGAGTCATGATCTCAACAATAAATCTCATTTATTTCTTTCTCCACTACTCCTCAATACGCTAGAAGCTTCGACCTCTTCGAGTTCTTCATGCTATGGATCCTATAAGTAGGAGTTAATGGCTGCAGGGTTATCACAGAATCGTTAGATTTTGTTTTCTCTACACATAAATCAAACTCATACCGGCGATAACAATGGCTGTTTCCCAGATCTCTTTTTCCGAGTTGGGGCCAGGACGTTGTGCTCAGATCGTTGTGACACGCCTTCTCTGCTTTTGGAAAGCAAGGAATGCCAAGAAGGGTGGTGAACTAATGGGTGTGGCCGGGTATGTTTCTCTTGGATGATCAGGTCAGTTTTGTTCTGTTTTTATTTTTGTAGTTTTTGTTTTTCCGTGTTTTGTCGTTTAAATCTAGGTTTTGATTACAAATCTCATTCCTTTGCAGTCTTACCATTTACGAATCCAAATCTCTCCAGCGTTTCGGAAGGTTCCAAGGTAGTCACAAGTAACCATCTTTTCTTTTAATTCTCCAATTTGCTTCTTTTTTTTTTTCATTTTGCTAAACAGAGTGATTCTTATTGCAGAAGCGCCACAGTCTCGCAGAGTTAGTATGATATTATGGAGGATTTTTTTTCAGAAGACTGATACAGCTGAGGCTTTTTAACCGGAAGCTGAGTCCGAACATGTGTCAGGGACTCAGGTGATACATAGTTGCCGGAGACGCTAACCAAAGTAGTTGAGCNTTTTTTTTTCATTTTGCTAAACAGAGTGATTCTTATTGCAGAAGCGCCACAGTCTCGCAGAGTTAGTATGATATTATGGAGGATTTTTTTTCAGAAGACTGATACAGCTGAGGCTTTTTAACCGGAAGCTGAGTCCGAACATGTGTCAGGGACTCAGGTGATACATAGTTGCCGGAGACGCTAACCAAAGTAGTTGAGCTGCTTCCCCAGCTGTGGAAACTCACTGATTCGTCGCGTGATGCTATTTTGTCTTATAGACTAACGCTTCTCAAACACAAGAAGCTTGAGTGTTAATGATTTGAGGTTGGCTTGAATGTTTTATGGTGCTATGATATATATATAATATTCTATTTGGAACCGAAATAGTTTATAAGGGAATTGTATGTACATTAACACTTTCGTTCATGCTGCTGCGCAAGAGTTTGCGTACACTTGCATCTGTAACTTTTAGAGGCTACAACCTTCTAGGTATTTAAAACATATGTGAAGACGACTGAGAGGCTTGCATCAACAGCTTCAAATGGTTAGACCAGTCTGGAGACCGCAAAAAGGCTTACCTGAAAAGTATGTCTCTATATTCTGCGCTTGGCTCTTTGAGCATTTACTTCATTTGTAAGTGTTGATCAAGAGACATCATTCTTGCTTTTCTTTGCTTGATTAATAACCATCTCAATATTTTTCCAGATATCCAAAGAAACTAGAGAAAATCAGGCTTGCGAAACATACATGACTATAATTTAAAAACAAGGTAATGCAAGAAGGATATATGAAACTTTTGTTGTTGTCTCTTTGGTGTTGCTTTGATCTGAGTGGTTTCTGGTTCCTGGCAAACTTCAAGTTGTGATTTGGTTTTGTTAATTAGAGAGTTTGCTGTATGAAACGATGATTGAAGCGATGTAGGATGAATAGTTTGGTGATGCATAGAGCTTAAACCAGTATCAGGATATCNTAATGCAAGAAGGATATATGAAACTTTTGTTGTTGTCTCTTTGGTGTTGCTTTGATCTGAGTGGTTTCTGGTTCCTGGCAAACTTCAAGTTGTGATTTGGTTTTGTTAATTAGAGAGTTTGCTGTATGAAACGATGATTGAAGCGATGTAGGATGAATAGTTTGGTGATGCATAGAGCTTAAACCAGTATCAGGATATCTTCAACCAAATATAGTTTCTCAAAGTGAATGTTGTATGCTAATGCTGGACGTGAACTGCCGTGATTTACTTCACGAGATATTTAACATGTTTTTCTATGTGATAGGTGTGAGTGGAAAACAATTATTAATACTGTTACGAGACTTCTCTGATATTTTAATGGTAACATGGTAACAATATGGAGAAGTAAATTTCATCTATAGTTTCAAACTTTCTAACCACGAAAAGTCCTAACTATAAATCTTTATGCATTGCTACTGTTATGCAAAGACAATTTTGTTAAGGGAGTTGAATTTAAACCTTATAATTCTCTTTATTCACATATTATGAGAAATTAGATAAATTCTCTCCAAGATCCAACAAATATGTTCTCCAGTTTTGGTTTAAGACCAAAAACATTAATTAACTGCCTACGATTTCACGTTAAAAATTTTAAACTTGCAAATATTGATCCTTCACTTGAGCTTTTGGCATATCAGGATTGAGCTTCTTTGGACCCAAACAAAAATTGATTAATGTAAAAAAGAATTTGATTCTTTTAATATAATGCCATTATATGACAAAAGAGTATAACTAACAATGAAAAAAACTAACACTTCTGTGAATTATTGAATTATCTCAGCCCTGTATGTGTTATTAGGGATGGGCAGAAAATCCGAATCCGAAGAACTGAACCAAACCAAATCCGAAAAACTTTAACCGAATCCAGACCGAAATTTATTAAATATCCGAATAGGTTCAAAATTTTGGTATTTAAAAAACAGAAATCAAACTCGAACCGAAATAATTGCAGATACCCAAATGTATCCGAAATAGATTTATACACCTAAATATATTGATTATTTTTGTATTTAATGTATATTAATAACATTGAAAATGATCATTAAAAGTAAATTATATCCCGCCTGTAGGGCGGGTCGACCCTAGTGTAATATAATTCAGTACAATTATGTTTAATTTGAGATTAAAAATGAACTATGCTATAGGAATATGTAATATAATACTCCCTCTGTTTCAAAATATAAGGCATTCTAGCCTTATTTTTTTTGTCACAAATTAAGTGTCATTCTCACTTTTCAATACAATTTGTACAACATACTACCTATTTTAACCTCAATAAAAAATAACAAAATATTTCAAATTAAACTAATTATATTCAACACATTCTCGTTTATCAATCATCCCAACAGCCACTTAAACAAATTAGTTTTCTTTTTATCTTTTCCAATGTGGTCAACATACATGTAAATTTACGTAAACCATTTAGATTCTTAAGGAAACAAGACTATTTAGATTCTTTCTCGTGTTACTTTTCATAGAAAATGGCAAATCTATTTGGAAACACTCCTACTGTCGAGGAAGAAAGTCAAAGTTCAAAGAATGGAAAAGAAATTCATGATCCTAATGTGAAATTTTTGCATTCTTTTGATCTTAACAAAGCATGCGTCGAAGAAGAACACCATTCATGTAAAGAGATTCATGATTTCAGTGTTAGCAATATACATACTTTTGATCTCAACAAAGTATGCTACGAAGCAGGGAAAGGCGAACTTAACAAAGAGACTGGAGATGATGATACCAAAGTAGTGCATCCTTTTGATCTCAACAAATCATGGGATGAGGATGGAGAATTTCATCATGATAAAGAGAACCAAGATATGGTAGTGGAGATGCTGAAGATTCTTCTTCCTAAATATTTTTAAAAGTTCCATCCAGTTATCGGGTATTTTCAAAAGAATAAAAACTATGGTTATTGTGTTATCCTTTTTTTATGTTTACTGATTTCCAATAATGTTTTATGGGTTGCTCTCCAATGGGGGTGATATATCTTTTTATTACTACTATCGTAGAGTATCATTGTGTTCAAGTCAAAATTTGTGGGATGTGATCGATTTGGTTCTTCTTTTGACTTATGTGTATTGTTTCTTGCTTAAATTTGCAGTAATACTTTGAACTAAAGAAACAATGAGTAAAAAAGCAAAACAACGTTTATTGATAGAAAAAAAAACTCACAAACAAAATAAAATGTCTTAAGAATAAAATAACAAAAGAAATCCTAAACACCTAACTGGTTTATTACATTTTCCACGATAATAGGATCACAAATTATTTCTTTTGGAAGACAGCCTTCCCGTTCCAATGCTTCTTTCTTCATGTGTGGGATTTTGTAGTTGTTACCGCCTCCAACTCTCATAATTTCTTGCATGCAAAGTTGCAACGATAAGAAAATATGATTGACCTTGTATGATGGATATTCTTCATATGATTCCTTTACTGCGTGCATGAGCTCTCCCACGTTTTTGGGGCACACCTTATGTTGTAATTCTTGGATAGCACGGAAAAAACCAAGATCAAGAATATTCAAATCAGGAGAATTTGGCGGTTGGCACATAAGTCGAATGTCAAAACCGTTTTGTGAAGCAGCTACTCGGAACTCTTCATCGCTGGGATCAACATGCGTCCTCGCGTTATCTTGTTGAATGAAGATAGGTTTTCCTACATCCTTACGTGGCCATCTTTCATAAATTTTAGGAATAACTTCTTCAATCAAACATCTTCTTATGTCGGCTCTCTTAACCGACGTAATCGGTTTTATTTCCATTGTCCCTGCTTCTCTATTTCGACTGTTTCTTTGTGCAGCCTGAACAGTGACAAAAGGAAAAATCCCAATCTTTCCAGAAAATAATTCATTTCCTTCATCATCATACCTTGGACGGGCCATTGCCGCTAGAAACATCACCTTTAGAATAAAATTTTTGCTCTGGCATGTCCGTACAGGATCATTTTCAGTAGGAAGAAGATGATAATTTTCAGTCTTCTTGGTCATATAGAACCACTTTTCATCAATATGTACAGTGTTGTACATATCAACAAATTTTTGTTCATGACCCAAACTAAGAGGATCCAACATAGATAGGCAGAATCTCAACCTCGCTACCTTGTTTTCTTCTTTCAAATATGGTTTCAAAGCATTGGTGTAACGACGCAGAAGACCTTCTTTAACACGCCTATACAATGTTGTATAACTAATTCCAAGTGCTTCACCCAACGTTCTCAAAGTTGTTCGCTTATGTAGAGGAATATCTATCACCCGCGGTATATCGATCTGAATTTTCTTGCGACCACACTTGTTCTTTCTTTTGTTGGATACATTAACTAATACACCAGCGGGTGTATCTTTAGCTTGTTTCCATATCCTTTGAACCGTTCTATGATGAACAGAAAGTAAATCGGATACCTGTTTTGTGGTATTTATCTTTAGTTTTCCTCCTACGCTACGTTCAAGCAAAGCGTCGTAAACGATCCATCTTTGACGATTAGTTAAATTCTTCCTTTTTTTGGTGATGATGTTTACGTCTTCTTCTGGATATGATCTGTCTCCTTCGGCATACACTCCACCTTCTTCAACATCTAATGGAAAGAAAGCTTAGTTCAATAATGTGTTGCCATTGCATACAACAAATACTAAAATATTACGTGCAGTACCAGGGCCGGCTCAAGTGCATCATGGGCCCATGGGCAAATTTTTTTTTTTCAAAATTACATACATTTGTAGTTAATTTAAAATTTTTGAGCCCTCATTCTTATTTTTTTTAAGTTGGGCCCCTTTTTAATCTTATTTAACTATAAAAAATGTTTGAGCCCTGGGTCCACGCTCCCCTTGCCCCTATAGCTAAGCCGGCCCTGTGCAGTACCAAAAGCCAGTCCTTAAATATGATTGATGTGTTGCCATTGCATGCAACCCATTTTTTTGCAACAAATAAAAAAACTAAAAGAGTACTTCCCACAAGAATTAAAAATTAATATAGAATGATTGTGTTCCATGCAACAAATGTTAAAAATCAATAGTGTTGTGTCACATACATAGTATCTCTACATGTCACTACAATTATAAACAAATCAAGTGTTTCATGACGGATAATA